CGCCCAAGCCACCTTCCATGTGCGTCCTAGGATCACCCAGCCCTGCGCCGTGGAGGGGCCAAACATACGAAACAGGGCGTCAGCCTGCGCTAGAACAACTGTAAGCAGGGGGTCCTGGCACTGGAAAGACATACAGTCGAGTGACACATCTACCGAACCCCATTTGGACCGTCCGACGTGCCTAGAGATGGAAGAACGGATAACCTTAAGCCGCTTGGGGGAAATCCCCTGTCCCTGACATCCATAGGTCTCGGCCTTGAGGATGGAGGTGGCGTACAGCCTGTGCGCTTTACCCCCAGTACGGAGTCGGTGAAGTTTTTGGTTGCGTGCGCGGCCAACCTTAAAACGTTTCAAGGCTTGTGTTAGTCGTCGGCGTTTGGCGCCTGCTGAATCAACTCCCAGATCGCGGACCAAGTCCGCAACCTGGGGATCGGCATCACCGCGCAGGCTGTTCAAGGCTTTCGTCGCCTGAGCGTTGTTGCATACAAACTTTGTCTTGACTTTGTTGATGCGAAGCTTTTCAACTGACAAAAGCTGTTCCAGCTTCCTGGAAGCTGAGAGAGCAAGGGAGGCTGCGACCTCCGGATCAGCATGTGACACATCAACACTGATGTCGTCTAGCCACAGATCAGCGTGACTAACACCCGGCTGCTGAGAAATGCCCTGCAACGGGGCATGAGTGGTGAGTTTGGCAACCGTGGGCGCGTACGGGCACCCCTGCAAAATGCCCTTTTTGGGCCACAGAGCTACCGTGCTGACGCCTTCTCCGTGGAGACAACGTGGCCCATGATATAACTGAAGACATAATTCCAAAAGCATAGGTGGAAATGCCAAAGCTTTTCCCTGGGCGATCAGGCGGGAAAAATCAATACCATCATAAAAGCCTTCAAGATCAACAAATAAGGTGATGAAGGTGATTTTGCGAAATTTGTGGTCTTCAGCTTTTATCAAACGGGATAATGCTGGGTCAAGTGAGGTGTGCCCTGGTGTAGCAGAGTCGAAAGGAGCACAAGCAGCATACGACTTCAGCCAGCTCTCCAGAAGTGGGCGCCTCAGTTTGCTGTAAACTCTCCAAAGTACCGAAGTGAGCGAAATGGGGCGCTCTTTCTCAGGGGTTTTTGCCAGGAGGGCTACTTGGACCGTTAGCATTTGAAGCGGCAAGGTGAGGTCCGCCTCAACCCGGGAGAAAAGCTCGGCAAGCTGCTTATAGCAGAAGTCAGGGAGATTTCGCAAAGCCCGGTACGACCAACCGTCGAGGCCGCCTTTCTTATTACCTGTGGCCAAGCACACTTTCTTGACCTGTTCCCAAGCCAATGAGGGAAGGTCCTGTGCCTGCTGCGAGGCCTCAGCCCTCAAGGCGAGGCGCTCTGCAGAAAATTGGACTTGAGGGGGAACAATTGTCGCATCCCAAATGTGGCTCCAGAATTCCATGCGACAATAGGCTCGGGCCAGAGCTGACTGATCTCTAAAGGGCCGAGCAAGAGTTTGTTCATGGCTTTTAAGAGCTCGGTACACTGGCCCCATACCTGCCGACAGAGCCCCCGACAGCCAAGCTTAAGCTTGATAAGAATTGGCCTGTTCCTTTTGCTGGGCTTGCATGGCAGCTTTGGCTTGCGTCTCAGCTCGCGAGACAAAGATCGTGAGATCACGTTGGTTAGAAACGGCAGCCTCAACTTCCGTTACCCACTGCTTATGCTCGGGAGCAAGATTGGAAAGCAGCAGCAAGACTACCTGGCTAGGACCCCCGGCCTTGAACCTAGTCGCAAGCTGAGTCCAGACCGCGTGTTCTTGCCCAAACCACTGGCAATCCTGGGCTGGCTGTGACACTGCCGGCTGGCGGACCGTGGGCAGGTGAACCCCCCTGCCTGTATTCTTTCCCAACAGACCAGACGCCTCAGCTGTGGCAGAGAACTCCGCAAACGCAAGAGACACGGGGTCACTTGCTTCAATCTCAAGCAAAACGACCTGCTGCGGGGAGACAACCGTCGGTGTCAAAAGGCGCTGGTCATCTGTGATGGGGTCAAAGGAGTCAGCCAGGGTCCTCAGGTTTGGTTGCAGGTCCTGCAGCGGCTTGAGGGGAAGGGTACACATCAGAGCGGCGTGCGGTTTGAAAGGGACATCCCAAACAAGCTCAAGCGAGACATGTGAGGCTAGTCGCGGGTGGACCAGTGCATAATCTAGCTCTGCTGCGGTGCCAGCCGTAGGCATTCCTGTTCCAAGGAGCCGGCCCCTGGTGAGGTCCTCAAGCCTGGTGGCGAGGACCTCACAGGAATCTATGTTCCAGTCCCCCACCACACACCAGGGGCATTTGAGCGAGGCCAGCACGCCATACAGATGGGAAAGGACCACTGTGTTGGTCCGGCCTTCGAAGGAACTACCTGACTCGAGATACAAAGAGATGAGGGCTAAGTCGAAGCCGGTCACCCGGACAGCAATCGCAACAAAGCCACAGCCCGTTTCAGGATCTTGAAAGGTATGAACGTGCCTGGCTTGCAAATGAGCCTTGACACAGACCATCACACCTCCAATTTCGCGCTTACGGGCGGGAGAATGCTGGCCATGCAAATGATAGCCTGCCTTAGCTAGGGCAACCGATTCAGCATGAAAGGCCTTTTCAGAGAGGTGGTGCTCCTGAATCAGGGCTACGTCACACTGCAGTGAAACCAACCACTGCCTGAGCTCTGGTCTCCAGGAGGTCACATTGGCCGAAACGAAAGTAAAGGTACGGGCCCGGCCTCTGGAAGTGGAGTGCACCAGGTCCTCCGAAGCTCTGGCGATGCGAGCCCAGGTTTCAAGGCTATTATCACGGGCCTCGGTGGCCTCCAGGGACCTGAAAAGAGTCCAGTATTCAAGGGTGCCCTCCTGGCTCTGCTCCTCAAGCCCTTCGGCGAGGCGCAATAGGTCAGGCTCATGGTGCCAGTCCGGATGCAGGGCTTTATATGCACTCAGGTTGAGAAGAGAGCCCCAGCCTGACCGACCAAGGCTCTTCCCAACCTTGCACACTGCAGGGGACGGTGAGCCTTGTGGGCCAGGAAAAGGTTCAGCATCCTGTGGGGTTGGCGCAGCATGGTCAAAGCGGGAACCATGCTCTTCCAAGAAAGACATGATCGGTCCCCTGACCAATGGTTTCTTCACAACCTTAGGTTCCGAAGAGGCGCCCTCCTCCGGCGAATGAAACATGGCGGGATGGAAAAACTTTGGGCCAGTCAGGGCACAGCTAGGGGATGGCCAAAAGGGACGGGACACAGTCCTGGGGAAAACAAACCCATCCTCGAGCTGGGCTGGCTGGTCTTGCAAGGGAGATCCGAGCCTCGAACCCGGTGGTGAGGCTACGGCCAGGCCCACGTCAGCACTGCAAATGCTGGCCTGAGCATGTTTTGATGCGTAATTGACATGGATTTCGGCACTGCAAATGCAAAACTGAACTCCCACGGCATTTGGCACGAAAGGGAGGCCACAGTGCCAGCACTTGAAAAAGGTGTTTGACGCGTCAGGGCTTGCGCTTGGCTCCGAAACTTCCAGATCACGCAAAACCTCACTCAGAGAAAGAACCGGAAGACAAAACCCGGGGCCCCCGCGCAACCCCCCACCTGGATCCTAAAGCTCGTCACCCTTGTCACCGCGCTTGGGCGAGCGACTGCGCGCCTTGCCGGACTGGCTGTTCAAGTCCTTAGCGTCTGCGGCGTTTTGCTGGGGTTCGGCGGCCGGGGGTGCCGTAGACTTCGGGAGCAATCCAGGCGGGAAACGATCCTGCTGCTCGGTCTTGCGGCGCTTGGCCTCATCAGCATTGTCCTTCTTCAGAGCAGCGATACTGCGCTTTTGGGCCTCAGTGAGGGTGTCCTCCTCGATACCCAGGGCCTGCAACACAGAATCTACTCCATGACTGGCCTCTTCTGCGCACTGTGTGAGAACCTTAGCTTCATAATCCTGAGTGGCTTTGTTGACCTCAGTCTGTGCTTCCTGGATGGAAGCTTGCAAGTCCTGCATCTTTGTCAGCAGGGCCCTCAGATTGGCCTTGGCCAGGTCAATGTCTTCTTGCAGCTTCAACTTACGCTGGCCAAGGTCGCGCAACTTACCGACGAGTTGCGCCACTCAACACCTGCAGCCTTGCCTTCCTGCACTGGGTTAGGGACCGGTGCTGCTGGCAGAGCATCCAGGACTTCCTGGGGGAGATCATCACGGTTGCGCTGCAAAAGGCTGAGTAGGTCAACATCTTCCTGCTTCGGGGCCGGCACTTTAAAGCCAGCCTGCTCAAACTGCAAACACACATCTGCAGGCAAGGTGGACCACACCTTCTGAAGGCAGCTTGCTAGCTTAGCTGGCTTCGGCTGCCGAGTTCGAGGTCGCGGCCTGCTAGGTTCTCTCCAAGGTGCCTGCGGTACATCAGCGGGCCAAGGCTTGCCACACCAACTGCACTTCGCAAACTTCTGCACTTTAGAGGCATAAATCCAGCTTGCAGGACCACAGGTTTTGCACACATAGTACCTACCTCCTGCCATGACTGTTCTCTCAGCCCCTGAGGCGAGTGAACAGCCCTCAGCCCTGGAGGCGAGGGCCGGCACCTGCACGCTGGAAAGTGACTGGCAAAATGCCAGCACTGCACAAGTATGGCTCGCGAAAGGATAAGCTGGGATTCCTGTTTGAGTCCTGTTGCCCCAACGACAGTTAAGGCCCAGAGGCTCAGTTGAAAACAGCTACGCTCCCTACGCAGAACACCCACCTCTGAAAGCAGGGCTCGAGCCAGACTTGAGCCACAAGATTCTATTCACTCCCCATTCCTAATGCTCCTGCACGCCACGTACTACAGCCGAGGGGCCTTAAGACACAGAAAGGGGTCTTGGGGTGTATTTTGTATAACCGTATATAGGACTACAAGGGGGTTTTATTGATATGACTATTTGCCCGGGAGCTCCATATATACTCCCATCCCAAAAAGGGCCGTCCAGGCTGTGGTTTTGGGGACCTAAGTCCATAATGGTGCAACTTGCCAACTGAGCGTCGACTGGGCGAACCTCTTGCACGCATTCCGCAGGGTCGGAAGCCCCTGCACACAGTCAACGGTGCACCGGGAAAAGTGAACGAGTATGGTTTTAAGTTCATCTGTATTCATTACAGAGTTTAGGGTTTAATTCAAGGTTGAGGGTTTAGGGGTTTGGAGCCAAGGGTGTAACTTAGATTGACTTGTACGGTGCAGTCTTCAAACAAGGGAGTTCGGCGATCGCTGGCATATGCCACTCTAGGTCCTTAGGTAAGGGCTCGCTGGTTTAGGATTCCAGGCCACACCCAAAGATCCCAAAGGGTCCAAAGTGTATGTGTATATATATATATATATATGTATATAGATATAGATATAGATATAGATATATTGGATATAGAGTACAGTGCAGGCTTTCTATATTAGGAAATCACTAGTATGACCTAAGGAAGCAGCCCCATAACAGCACCTGGGATCCACTAAGGTGGGGATTAGGACCGCCGAGGGATCGCAGATACCAATGTGCAATGTTCAATCAAAGGGGAAAAGGAGGGACCCTCACTGGGGACCTCTACCCTATAATGGGCTATATAATGGGTATATAATGGCTATATGAAGGGTATATACCTAGGGGTCCTTATTAAGGGTCCCTCCTTTTACCCTGTGAAATGTGCAATGTTCAAGCACGGTTAAGGGTTTACTTGGAGGGTCTTAGGGTTTAGGGTCTACCTGGAGGGGCAGGGGACTTAGTAAGTCGTTTATAAGTAGGGGTATAATTGGGGTAACTCCATTTGGGGTACTTATAACTCTACTTATAACCTACTTACTAGGTCCCCTGCCCTTCCGAGTAGGGTATGCAACACCCCTGAGCCCCTACAGTAAACCTGCAGTAAAACCTTAATCGCCCTACCTGATATTGTGAACTTTGCGGCCTAAGCCCCCGGACCCTTGACTCCCTTCAAACCCTACTGAGAAAAAACACGTAAGACATCATAAAACTCAAACCGGGAAATGTTGAGGAATTCTTCAGCCTTTAGCATCTTTACAGTTCGGGTTTAGGGTTCGGGCTAACTTGTAGCATAATCTTGGGGAGGGACCGCAATGTGACACTACATACTCTGATGTCGACCCCGATTCCCCGATATTCGGTGGTTAGGGTCAAGCCTTAACCCTCGCAGTAGCCCTTAAAGGAACCCTGAAACCCGAAAGTCGGTTATTATCCAGAGACTCCAACAGCCCCTAATTAAGGAATGTACCTTAAATCATATTAGGATCCCTACTATAATTTAAGGTATATTCCTTATTTAAGGGGTTTTGGAGTCTCTGGGAAGCGTTGACAAACTTTTTAAAGGAACCCTGAAACTCGAAATTCGGCCATTGGGGTCAACCCTCAACCCTTGCTGTAACCCCTAAAGGAACCCTGAAACCCGAATTCTGTCATCAGGGTCAACCCCCTAACCCTTGAGGAACCCTGAGACCCGAAATTCGGCCATTAGGGTCAGCCCTTAACCCTTGCGGTGAACCTTAAAGGAACTCTGAAACCCGAAAGCACATGCAACCTAAACCCAAAACCCTGAACCCTGAACCCTAAACCCAAACAGAGGGTCCTTGAGCAAAGCGGTCTCACAGAAGGCCCCCAAGTTCTCCAACTTGATCTTCTTTACAAGGGCTCCTCCATGCTTAGGGTTTAGGGCTTAGGGTTTTGGGGTTTAGGGTCTAGGGTTTTTGAGGGCTATATAAGGTCATACAGGGTTACATCGGGGACTTAGAAGTTTTCCACCTTGATTCTGTTCGACAGTTGACATAGGCTTACATGGATTCTCCGCTTTGCTGTTGTTCGCAGGTGCTCCCCGAGCAAGACTTCCGAAAAGGGAGGCCATCGTTTGCTTGATATTGGGCTGCAGAACTAGCCGTATAATCGTCCCTTAGACCCCGGTCACGCATCCCACCCCCCACTCCCCCCGCAACCCTGTTCCAACTGTTTCGATTGGTACGGCTACGAATCCCAAAGCTCCTAAACCCCTACACAAACCGAACAAGGACATGCCGAGACTCAACCTAAACGCGTGGGGGTTGTATACCGGAGCTAATCCATGGGGTGAGCGCACAGACCCGCGAATGCTGGCAGATGAACTCGTAGCTTCAAAGATCAAGGAACCACGATCTATGGACCCTCCACAAATCGGATCCTCGAAACATGAAGCCCCCAAAAACCCTAAACATAAAGACTCCCCTGAGCCCTACATCCCGAAGGCCCAATATAGATCCTACGCCGTAAAACCGAAACCCTAAAGCTGTAACAAACTGAAAATGAAAGACATACCAAAATTTAGAAGAACTCCTAAACTTCGAAGAAATCCCAAATCTCAAAGAACTCACCCCAAACTGTGGCTCCTTCGACGATGTCCACCACGTGAGCGGCTTGCCAGCGATGGGCCAAATCCAGCGTGCCGAGCAAGACGTTCGGATCCTTGAGTGACTGCCCCGGTAACCCTTTAATAGTATGGGTTAGGTACTGCCCCCTTACAGTGAGAGTCTATAATAATTAGGGCTACTATTAAGGTCCTGATATATCTACACATTGAAGATCATCCAACTATTTCTGAGTGGGGGCCGTACCCACAGTAAGGGTTTCAGGTTTCGGGTGTAGGTTTTGGGGATAAGTTCGAGTGGGCCCCAGTAACCCTTTAGCAACAAGGGTTTAGGGTTTCGGGCGTAGGGGTTTTTAAAGTTTAACTAGGGTTTAAGGTTTCGGGGTTTAGGGTTCCCCAGTAGCTCCTGTAATTTATGATAAGGGTTCCTTTTTCCTAACATTCGGATTTAAGAAGGAGGCCCCAAAATACAATGGGCAAAACAGTTCTACTGGTGAACCTAGGCGTTACTAAAAACTAGACCAGGGTTTCTTCAAGCTTTAGGGTTTGAAGGAAAATCTGGGGTTCATAGGCCCTGGATGACTGCTGAGTCTGTTGAGCATTCGGGCATCGCTTAAGGATGGTTTAAGGGTCTGTAAGACGTCTATAAAGGGCGTTTATACCGGTTCTAAACGGGGCTCCTTTGACGGTTCTTTAAAGGGGTTTTCAAGATTTCTTTGAGGGTTTTTCAGGCTTCATCTACGGGATGCTTCGATGAGTCTTAAGCCAGTTTCTCCTAGGGACTGAGTCCCAGAGAACCCAACACCCGCTCGTTTGTGAATACACCTCAATTGATCTACTGCTTCTGGATATGATCTAGGAGGTTTTCGACCCTGCAAAAGATCCAAAAAACGATCAAACTCAAAAGAGGCATGTTACCACCATATGGGTTGAACTACAGGGCTTGCTTAAGGTATCCATCTCTCGAAAACACAGGATCTGTCAAAGCTTCTTCAAAAGGGTTCTGAAGCAAAAATAATAATACAATAATAATAGTAATATTGTTATTCAAAACGGTTCTGAAGCAACTAGTTTTTCAAACCTTTGGCGCTGGTTTTTGGTTGTTTGCTCCCTGGTGATTTTCTGGCGTTCAGTGAGCTTGAGTTCATAGGCTTTAGGGTTTAGGGATTTCGGGGTTTAGGGCGTTGGGGGTTTAGGGGTTTAGGGTCTAGGGGTTTCGGGGTTCAGGCTTTGGGGGGTTTGAAGGTTTTGCGGGGTTTAGGGGTTTAGGGTTTAGAGGGTTTGGGGTTTCAAGTTGCAGCTTCAAGGAGCTTGGGCACTCTAAGGTCTGAGGCTTGTTTGAGCCTTCTGTGCCGGTTTATTATGGCATTCAAGGTCTAAAGCTTCTGCGAGGCTTCTGGTGCCGCTTTCTGGCATTCCACGGGCAACTTCAGAGCTTGGGGCTTACTGTTTTGAGGTCGGAGCTTAGAGCTTCAAGCTTCAATTCGTATGTAGGTTTCGTACTGCCCACACTCAGTATATAGGGCAGGAAGGTGATGATGATAATGATGATGATGATGTCAACTACACCAGCTAAGCATACCAAGCGGCAGCCCTTGCAAACCTCACTCACTGGGCCCCACTGTTCAAACCTGTCTCAAAATACTGTATACAACTGGACACCCTAAAACGTAACAAATCAGCAAAACCACGAAGCACCTTGCACTACAAGGGTTCTAACCAGACATCGCAAAGTCCAACACGTGTGAGCGCTCAATGCAGAACGACACCGCCAGCAGCCCTTCCCCAAACAATCCCCGCACCGGAAAGCAACAACAATCAAGTCCAAACATGACCATGAAGCTCTGCCCTAAAACGCAATCCCAAACCATACTACCTGAACCCTAAACCCTAAACCCGAAAACCCAACTCCCAAAAAAATAGTACAGAGGTAAAACCCCAGCCCGAGGTGCGTGATCTGCATCTGGTGTGGTGCCGGTGTACCTGAGTATCGAAACCATCTATGGCATTGGGCCTTGGGGTCTCAGACCTTACCTACTGTAAAGTAGGAGCCTACATAGCTAGAATAAGGGTCCTTGAAGGGGTCCTTCAAAGGGGTCTATTGGGATTCTATAGAACCCCAAGGGTCCAAGTACCTAATCATATACTCTCCAAAAAAGTAACCTACACAACTACTATCCTAAACCCGAATACCTAACTATTAGGTCCTTTGGACTCTTGGGGTTCTGCTCTTGCAAGGCACTTATTTCACAAGCTTCGAGTTCCAAGATTTAGGTTTAGTTGTTCAGGACCTTGAACTTGAAACCCTTCAAAAACCGTGAGCCCCACACCCTAAGCCCTACACTCACACTCATACACCATAAAGATCCCTGAAACCCTGAATCCCAAACCCCAACCCAAAGGGACCCTGAATGGTTCCCTCGGTGCTTCGGCCTTGAAGACTCATGCCGAGAGCCCTCAAGTAATTCCCAGGACAGGCCTACGGTTGAGGCTTCGGAGTGTACAGGGAACTCCAGAAAGTTGGAATATGGTTTCATGGTAGGATACCCTATGATTTACCATAGAAGGGTTTAGGATAATCATATTACAACTTTCTGGCTTTTACTTTAGGGTGTCAGGGTAAGGTTTAAGGTTGAAGTACTTGGCGACCAAATCACCTTCGAAAGGGGCCATAGTATCATTTACACCCTTACACCATGAATCTTTGTTGTGGCCCTTGAGAATTAAGGAATTACGGTAGAGCGGAGCTTCGTAATCTCCAGCAGAGCCCATAAGGACCTTGAGAGAAAAAGCCTTTCTCTGCCTCTTATACAAAAAGTGTGCTTACCCGAATGGACCCCGATATCTGGCCCATCAGTTCTCAAAGGGCTCATGTAAAGATCCGTTTAACTCTAAGGCTCAAAAAGACCAAAAAACCTTGTATAGTATACGGACTCAGCCCTACTTGTATCCCCAGACCCTACAAAAAATAGCAGGTCATGACCCCTTAGCTAGATGACCGAACTAAGTAAACCTACACAGTTTGAATCCCCAAGTAACGAAACCCTAAAGCCTAAGGGTTCCGCTAAGAACCTTCAGTGTCTTTTCCTATACCCACCTTAGAACCATCATAAAAAAACACATGTCAACGTTAATATTGTCTTGGGTTCGATATGAGCAACACCATAAACACTAACCATCGAAGCATAATCTTCTCTACTATTTGCTTAAGAACCCACAAAAATAAACAAATATATTCCTTATGGGGGTAAGATAGTGTTTATTACTTTTATTTTTTGGGGGTTTCTTAAGCAAATAGTAGTTCTGTGGAGACTCTAGTTTTTTTCGATCCCGGGTGCAGCAGCTGAAGGAGAAGATGCACCGAAGCCATGCCGACTCCCTCCTTAGGCGCTTAGGGGGGGGGGGGGGGTAACCCCCAACGGGTCCTAGGTACTGGGATATTTCCACAAATCATAAGAGTAGTTCTTAGGATCCCTATATCCTACGAAGAAAGTACATTGGAATATTTCCCCAAATCATAAGAGTAGTTCTTAGAATCCCTATATCCTACTATGTAGTTTCGGGTTTGGGGTTTATATGGGTAGTTGTCAAAATTATGGTCCCTTTTGGGGTCCCGAATATAATATGGCACCTAATATTTAGGGTACCCAGAAAGGGACCGTAATTTTGACAACTACCCATATAGGGTTTCGGGTTCAGGGTTTTGGGGTGAAGGGTTTCAGGTTTCCTTACCGGGTCTCCTAGACTTGTGGCTCCTTTCTTAGACCGGGGCCCTTGTCAGGGTTCATGTAGAAGGGTCCTGCAAACGTTCCAGACTGAACGGGATTCTCAGGTTTTGGCAGATGGGCCTCTGTGGCGTCCGTTAACGGATCTAAAGCAATTACCCTGAGGCTTCACAGGGACCTAAGAATCAGGTACTTGGGTTTGGGGTTGGACCCCTAGGGTTACAAAGGGGTTTAGGGCCTAGGAGGTTAGGGCATGCATGAACTCTAGGATCTCGGGTTCCATGGAAGCATTGAAGGTTTCACAGGGGCAGCTGAAAGGGCCTATCAGACCACCGAACTGTCATATGGGTAGTTGTTAAAATTGGGGTCCCTTCTTGGGTCCCAATTATAGTACGGCACCTATTCTTTAGGGTAAAAGGGACCCTTATTTTGAGAACTACCCATATATGCCGAGGCATAAAGGTTTTGGTTTGTTGGGCTGATTTGTGAGTAGGGGGAGGAAACAGGGTGCAGGGGTTTAAGGCCCTTAGTTGCAGAGTTCATAAGCGGTGCAGGCGTTTAGGGGGTTTGGGGGCTTAGTTACAGAGTTCATATGCCCCCAAAAGTGTACACTTTCAGTTTCATAGTGGGCAATATAATCTCAAAAAGTGTAAAGTGTATCCACTCAGCTACTAGGGGCCTGAGTTTAGGTGACGGCTTCCGCTTGGTGCTCTTTCTCTGCGTTTGCAAAGGTGTTCTAGGCAGCCTTTCTGGCGTTCATAGCTCCTGGTACCTCAACCCTGTTCTTTGGACGGAAAACAAGGCATGAACAAGTGCTCTTAAAGGATCCCTATTAACGGTAATTGAAGCGGCTTGCCCTGAGGCTCCTGTACCCTTGTAGTAAGATCCGATTCCAGCCCCCAAAGCCGAAAACCTCGCCCAAAAAGCCCAAGACCCTCGTAGGAGGGTCAGGGTAAACCCTTTCAGGGTCGTCCTTAAGGCCGAAGTTTGAACCTCAAGCCGTACCCAGGCCCCCGGGAGGATCTGGAAAGTAGCCGCCCTAAACCCAAAACCTTAGTACCCAAAGGGCCCTAAGTACCTGATAGGTCGAATGCAGGGCTTCTAGCTTAGGACTTGCTATCGTGATTTGGGAAAATACTCCCCAATAATAATACCTAGGACCCTTTCAGGTCTTGACGCCTTCCAGACTCAGAGCGCTTATTAACCCTAAACCCCTAAACCCCCAAACCCTTAAACCCCTAAACCCTAAACACTAGGGCGTAGTGCCTAGCCCTAAACCCTGAAAACCGCCCAAACTTACGATATTAACCCTAAACCCCTATAAACCCCTATAGCCCTAAACCCTTAACCCCCAAATCCTAAACCCTAAACCCCTATAAATCCTAAACCCTAAACCCTATAAATTCTAAACCCTAAACCCCTATAAACCCTAAAAACCACCAAACTTCCGAGCGGCGACCTGAATAGTTCCTGTTGCCCCCTCAAGCATCGGTGATGACAGGAGCGCCTGCGCCAAGCGGTTAGGGTTTAGGGTTTAGGGTTTTGGGTATAGGGTCTAGGGTCTAGGGTTTAGGGTCTAGGGTTTAGGGTTTAGGGTTTAGGGGTTTAGGGTCTAGGGTTTAGGGTCCATATACCCAGAGAGCCCAATACCCCTTAATTAAGGAATATGCCTCAAGCTGTAAGGGGCCTTCTATTATGATTTAAGCTATATTCCCTAGTTGAGGGGTGTTGGGCTCTCCATATACCCTTAGGGCTCCATTGCAGGTTACTAGCCCTATAGTATATACACCGGCAACCTGCTATTTGGGTCACCGCAGTCCTTGGGATAGTCAAAGTTATTGTCATTGTTATGATTCCATACGCCCTAAACTCCCTAAACCCTAAACCTCAAACCCTAAACCTTAAACCTTAAACCCTAAACCTTAAACCTTAAACCTAGTTATGACTATGACTTCGACCCATGGCTTTGCTGTTACGAGATTCGTGGAGCGTTTCCTTACAGGTTGTGTTTGCGATTTCAGGGTTTTATTAACTAGGCTGGTCAGTAACCCTCTGGGAAAAAGTAGAGACTTGTTTAGGCTTCTTATTTTATAATAGGAACCCAGAAACCTGAAAGTAAACAAGTGTGCCACCGAACAGCCTGGCTAAAGGGGTTTAAGGTTTAGGGTTTAATAGGCTTTAGAGCAAACAGGCCCTAAGAATGTTGGCAGGGCTTGGGAATGAACTACTTCGGGACTCTACAGGCATGTTGCTTCTTAGTACTTAGTTCTCCGGACAGTCCGGACATCTATGTGGGAGTGTCCGAAAATAGGAAACCCTAGTATAGTACCCCTAAATAGTAGGATCCTTATTATGAGACCCCCAAAATAAGGACCCCTAAGTTGGGGAAACTCCCATGTAAATTACAACTGGAGCCTGAGGGGGGATCTTAACATGCGACACCCTGAACCGAAAGCTGTAAAGACTCACAGCCAAAGTCTGTTCTATGAGTTTTGAGTTCTTAGGGTTTGGCGTTGCTGGGCGTGGTCAGTCGGCATTGACTTGTTTAAATCAGCCATAGGAGCCTGCTTGTGTAGGGTTCAGGGTTTTGGGGATGCCTATTTTTCTTCTAGTTTCCAATCGCAACCTCGAGCCTTAGCCCTTAGCTCCCTAACCCCGAGAGGGACATGATCATGCCTACGCCAACCCCCTTATAAACCCTAGGGTCCTACAGTCCTACATATTGGCGGTTTCTGGGTTGTAGAGCCCTGAATGATCGGCTTAACATAATAAATCACGTGATATAGGGGCCTTATGATTAGAACAGGGCTTTGGTGCCCATCCCATTGTACCATGGTTATAATAGGGACCCCCCCCCTCCAAAAAAAAAAAAGGTATGGCCAACTATTGATTATTATTTAGGATCCTGTAGTAACCAGGTCTTTCGAAACTCCCATGTTTTCTTCAAACTGGCGGAAGCCTCCGCGAACGCTTAGCAAGCCGGTGACCCTGCTGTGAGACTCGACATCGTCTCTCGCATGCACTGATGCCAGCACTGAAGCTGATGTCATTTGGAGCAATCTTGACAGTGGACATGTGTGCCAGCAAAAACAGGGCTACCTGCCAGTTCCCAACCTTCCCACAAGCACTGATGGCAGCATTGAAGCTAATCTGGTCTGGGGAACATCGTGAAGAAGGCATTTGAGCCAGCAACAACAAGGCCATCTGCCACTGCCCAGCTTTCTCACACGAGCTGATGCTTGCATTGAGGCACATCAGGTCGGGCAACACCTTTACAGCTGACATTTGCGACAGCAGGCAAAGGGCCAACAGCCACTCGCCTCCTTTCTCACATGCACTTATTGCAGCAGTGTAGCTTATCTGGTTCGGTGACGGTATTCGCGAAAGCAAATGCAGGGACATCACCCACTCACCACCCTTTGCACAGGCTGCCATAGCAGCACTCAAGCTGATCTCGTTCGGAACAACTCTAGCTATCCGCATCTGCGATAACAGTACCAGAGCCATCTGCCATTCGCCAGCTTTCTCACATGCACTGATGCCAGCGCTGAAGCTAACCTCGTTTGGCCAAACTCTCGCTGCTGGCATGAGTGCCAACAGTGAAAGAGCCTTCTGCCATTCGCTACCTCTGTGGCATGCACTGATGCTGGCACTGAAACTGACTTCGTTTGGCACAGCCTTGGCACCAGGCATTTGCGACAACAGCGATACTGCGATTTGCCATTCCCCGGCTTTCTCGCCGGCACTTATGCCGGCGCTAAAGCTGATCTGGTCAGGCAAAGCCCTCTCCTTTGCCATCTGAGCCAAGAGGTGCATGGCCATCGGCCATGCACCACCTTTCTCACATGCACTGATGCAGGAGTTGAAGCTGATTTGGTTAGGCACCGCCCTGACTGTCCACATCTCCGTGAGCAACAAAAGCGCCACCTGCCACATTCCCGCCTTCTCACAGCTGCTTATAGCGGCGCTGAAGCTAAACACATTCGGAACTGTTTGCCAAGAACCCATCTGCCGAAGCAGGGAAAGAGCCAGTTGCCATTGAAATCCCTTCTCGCAAGCGGTGATCGCCGCGCTACAGCTATGAACATTTGGCACCGTCCTGGCTGCGATCATGACTGCCAATACATGCAGCGCTACCAGCCACTCCGTAGCTCTTGCGCAGCCGCTGATAGCTTGACAAAGAAGTCTCTGATCTTCAGCTCCCTTTGGCAGCTCGAAGAGCTGCCGAATCGTAGATTGCCAGTCTTGCTTTCCTCCGGCAGTTCCCTTAGTGACCACAACTGCAGTAGGACGTCTGTTTGCTGGAATGGAAGCCATCTCAGCACTCGATCTGAGAAGTCTTAAATGCAGACGTCGAATTCTTGGGCCGAAAAGCATGCAAACCAAGAAAGAGCAGGAGTGCAAGTCTGTGGGGTACTACCCTAGGATGCTTGTGCCGATGCAAATATCTGCACAGGTAGGAATCCTCCACGAAGGTGCTGCTGCTGATGGAGATGATGCGATGGTGAGGCATATGATTTTGATGGTAAGGCCCACAGCGAGAGTTGACAACAACGATAAGGATGAGTAGTGCGGTGATGGTAATGGCAATGTTGAGTGACGATAGTGATGGTGATGATTATGATGATAATCGTGATGATGATGTTGATGTCGATGATGAATTATCACCATCATCACCCATCGGAATTACTTGAAAATGTCAGCAGCGAAGGTGGCCTTCAACACGGGGGAGACGGCTTTCAACACCAAGGAGTGTGCATAGACAGTACCTGCACAGGACGGCAGCAGGTGAGGTCTTAGGCTTAGGATTGAGAATCTAAAGTTTGGGGCTTAGGGTCTAATTTAGAACTGACGACCTTATTTTAACTTACCATCACAGGGAACCATATTGGATGGTATCTATTTTGCTGTGGTCGTTTGACAATTCGAATTACACTCGTTAGCGAGTTCTCGGTACTCTCTGTGCGGGCTTGCGGCGATGTGCGGCCCAGTCGCTTGGCGAACTTCCCAACCCCTCCTAAAACTTCAACTGCCCTTTGTACAAGTAAAGCTGCCAAGAACACCCAAAAATAGTTCGCGAGGACTCCCGACTTTCCGAAGGTTCTGCCTTGCTTTCCATGGACCCTGAACCCCTTAACCCCTCCATCCCGAAACCCTGACCCCGACGAGCTCATCAATGTCATCCCCTGAACCCTAAACCCTAGACCCTGATCCCCACACCCGAAGCCCTGAATTCTGATTCTGAGCCCTGAACCTCCCCGGATCCCAAAACGCCATTCCCTACAACCTAAATCCTGATCCCCACGCCCCAACTCCTGAACCCTAAACCATCCCAATGGCTCCAGGTACCTCAATAGTAAGCTACTTACCACGTATTATGTACGCTAGTAGCCTACGATTTAGGTGACTGGAGCCCTAAGGCACCATAATAACCCCTTCGGGGAGCCAGCGGTCCAAAGGGCCCTTAGGGGTCCTGGTAAACCTCAAACCCTGAGATCCGAAACTCTAAACCCTAGAATCTCTAAGCCTTAATTCCTAAACCCTAAACCCTATAATCCGTAAGCCTTAATTCCTAAACCCTAAACCCTTTAATCCCTAGGCCTTAATTCCGAAGCCCCTGAACCCTTTCAGGGCGCCAGCGGTCGAGACGAAGACCTCATCCTCTGGCAGCTGCTTCTCCTTATCGGCGAAGGCTCTAATGGAGGGGGCCTTATAAAGGGGTCTACAAGGGTTACTATAAGGGATCTATAAGGGTGCTATTATTTAGGGGGCATAATAATCCTATAACTTACCTTTGGTTAGTCGGGAATGGAGGAATGGGGTACAGTTGTAACTACTATTACTACCATTCTTCCATTCCCTTGCTAACCAAAGGTAAGATATAGGTGCCCCGATACTTACATAGGGTTCCCTTTAAAAGGGGCCTGACAAGGCTATTATACTATAAGGGGCCTTCAATTAGAATACGGTTCCTCTACCAGTAGTAGGGGCCTTAACGGGTGTTGCGGTATACTATACTATGACTCCCAAAAGGAACCCCACGGAAGATTGTTGGTATTTACTTCGGCGTCTATAGTATTTACCTTCAGGGTTCCTTGAAGGGTCTCTTCTAAAGTGCCTTCAAGGGTTCCTTTAAAGGGTCCCCTTTAACGGGTTTTACTATGGGTTCCTCTAAGGGTTCTTTTAAGGGTATCGGTATCCTTTAAAGGGTTCTTTTGTGGCTATTTCGAAGGGATCTATGAGAATTTCATTAGAGGGATCCATAACGGTATCACTTAAGGTGATCTATATGGCTCTAGAAGGGTACCTTAGGGCTTCCTCGAAAGGGATCCTTTAGGGTTCGGGGTTTTCAGGGTTGGGGATGAAAGTTCAGGGGTTAAGCTTCGCGTCTGGGGTTTAGGAAACCGGTTTTAGGGCTTAAAGGGTCACTGTCGGGTTTTATGGTATTGTATAGAGTAGTGGCTGAGTACCCGACCCAAAAATCTAGAACAGTACGACAGGCTTAGCGTGTAGGGTTTCAAAGGTTTCGGGGTTTCGAGGTCACTGGATTTAGGGCTTACGAGATCAGGCCGCTGTATACCTACATTACCAGCAAAGTTCCCCTGTTAGAGTAGGGGCAATATCCAAGGTTTAGGGTTTACCTTAACCCTGAAGAACCTGCCTCTTTAAGGACTTCTACAAGGAGATCAAAATAGGGAACCCTAAAAATGGTAGGTTATCCAAGGCTTAGTGTTCAGGGTTTACCTTGACCCTCGAAGACATGTCTGCTCAGGGTTCCTGATTTCCTTGCAGAGGTACTCCGCAAGGTAGCTTCTTGTTGCTGAAAGCGGGGGTAAGGTCGGGGTGGGGTCTCCATACCCCGAGCAGAGCTCAACAGTATAAGCTAGTATCAAAACCTTCTAGAACAAGGAAGCCAAGGAATAATGAAATAGTTCTTCCAGAGACTTTGAAGTAGGCCCCAGAAAACTGCTTTGGGGCCCAAGGTACATGGACCCTGCAGGAAAGCGCAACCTAAGTTGGAATCTGATCGATTTCGGCTTCCCAGCGTCCGATATCACGAGCCTACAATACCTCAAACCCCTATTGTCCGCAAGCCCACAGGCCCGAAAAGTCTGGACACCTACAGTTGATAATATAAATCCTGCATTACCCATAATTCGGAATATACCATGGAATATACCATCATTCCCATGGTCGAGGGTCATTAAGGTAATGCAGGATTTCGATTCTATCAGAAGCCGAATCTCCAAATTGGTCTTGTACGACCGCTTTCATCACCTGCGATTTCAATGCAAGGTGGTGGGCACCATCGTTGGACAACCCGTGTGCCTCGTTCTTCATAATCTCGGGTACAATCTCAGGATGAAGCCGCATGAAACGTCCGATGCCCTTGAAGGCACATTTGTGGCCTCTCGTTTTTGATTTTGGCAGGCGGTACGTGCAGCATGGACGCCCAGGCAGCGCCCGCAAAAGCAAGGAGGCATCAAGGTCGGAAAAAGCCGCCGAACTGGAATCCATTGGTGCAGGATTCGCCCGGCAGCGTGTGGGTCATTCGGATTGGTATCAGGATGCACCGCCCACGCGCACCGTCTGTATGTGCTTTCCAGAAGCTTTTCCCACTTTCATATGGAGCAGCGCAAACGTCGACGATGTAAAGCCCCAAAGCTGTAAGGTTAACCTGCTAGGTTCCCCAGTGTCCCCTTAAGAACTAGGGTACCGTTTTACCTGGTAACCAATTATGATAAAGGAACCCAACAAGAAAACTGGCAACAGGGTACTATTGGGAACCCAGCCTGAGGGCCCATGTACCCAAAGAGCATATACTTCAGGCTTGAGATACTCCCCATAAAGGTATATTGGGGCGAAAGTCTATACTTTTTAGGTACATGCACCCTTATACTCTAAACCCTACAAAACCCTTATAGAACCCTTCAAAGGAACCCTTAAAGCTCAAGGGACCCTATTCTTACCTTTGGTTAGTAGGGAATGGAAGAATGGGGTACAATTACAAACGACAATTACAACCATGCGTCCATTCCCTACTACTGGTAACCAAAGGTAAGTATTTGGGAACATGGACCCTTAGGCCTAACCCCTCAAGGCTTCCTAAGAAGGTGAAAACCACCGAGCTTCCACCACGGAGATCTTTACGTCTGCGGCCTCCTCGCGACGGCGTCTGGTGGTTTGAAGTTTTTCAAAGGATCCCAAGCACCATTTATAGTAGTTTCTGAATTTTAATGGTTTTAGGGTTGTTTCTAAGGATCCCAAGTGCATATGTAGAAGCTTCTGTATTTTAGGGATTACGGTTGTCAATTCATGTGTGGGGCGGGTTTCCCTGGTGCTCCAAATCGCACCAAGTAAGTAGGTACTACTTCATTTCTGGACTCTGGCCGCTGATGTAAGCACTCTTTGCATACTTGGAGCCCCAGGGCTTAGAGATTAGGGTTTAGGGTTTAGGGTTTAGGGTTTAGGCGACGGTTCAGGAGGTTTTGTCATGCTTTCGGGTATAGGGCTTAAGTCAGTCTTGAAGGTTTCGGTAATGTAATGTGGAAGCCTGGATAATCAACAGCACTGCTTGTAGTCCCAAAATGAAAATGCGATAATACACACCGACACCCTACTGTTCTCAATGCTATTAGTAATTCTCTGATATTGGGATTCCGGCGATTTGGGGTTCAGGATGTCAAGGGTTCTATGGGTTTGAGGTCTCAGCGCTGGCCGGAGTACGTAGGGGATTTAGGGTTTAGGGATCGGTCTCTTGGAAATTTGGTATGTGAAACTTACAGATGCAATGATAGTGCTCATGGTGGTCGCGGAGTTCTAGCAACGTGTCAAGGAACGTTATTGGAACATAATGCAAGCAGCAATTTCCAGCGCAGCGATACCACTGTGAAGTGGCATTCATCGTCATCGTCGTCGTCGACGCCGCGATCGTCGTCGTCATCGTCGTTGGTTGGGGAGAGGCGCGTATCTGATCGACTCAAGATTCCAGCATGGGCACCGAAACCCCTAAAGTGACCAACGGGAAGCCTTTCTGTGAAGTGCAATGCGAATGTCGTCCCGTATCTTTGCTGCGAGCATCGTCGAAAATTAAACACAAGCTATGCACGTGATGTAATATGGTGATACGAGTGAGTGGTGGAGTGATTAACGAGGACCAGGATGATGTTCTTATGGATGACCATGATGACGATGATGCTCTTTATGACGATGAAGATGACGACAACGATGTGGCCGTCAATGGGCTGTAGAAGTGGGCGACGACGATGACGATGCCGGCATCAAACACAGTGATGAACTGAAGAAACTTTTCCGGCTTTTACAATTTATGAAGGGCCTGATGAATCAACCCTTCTCTTAAAGATCCCTAAAGCCAGGATTCCTCGTCTAATCCGGCATTCATCAGGGGTAGACATTCCACCATCAGCAGCTCAACTTGTCTGACCGTACCCCCTTGGCTGTCCTTGTCCCTGAGTACAGTCTCCCACATGTCCGCGGTTGCTTCCGGCACCGACACGTCAGTGGCGGAGACCTGATGATGACTCCCAAACCCCTAAACCCTAAACCCCTACATCCTCAAATCCCTCAACCCCCAAACCCCGAAACCCTGAACCCCTTAATTCTTAAACCCCAAGCCCCCGAACCCTGAACCCTAAACCCCTTAATTCTTAATCCCCAAACCCCCGAAACCCTGCACCCTAAGCCCCTTAACTCTTAAACCCCAAACCCCGAACCTCGTAATTCTTAAACCCCAAACCCCCAAACCCCCGGAACCAAAGCTGACGGATCACCGAGTCCTAGCCAGAAACATCCAACTTCCAGAAGTCGGAGGCGGTCAGAGGTTCAGTTGTGGGTTGGTGTATACATAGGTACATGAGCGGTTGTCAAAATTATCGTCCCTTTTTGGGTCCTTGTTATAATACGGCACCTCGTATTTAGGGTACCCGAAAAGGGACCATAATGGTGACAACTACCCATATGTACATATGTTTTTTCTATATACACATATATTATTGATTATGCATTCAATTACTTATTGGTTCCCTTATACTGTTCTGTTGATAAGGGCCTTAATAGTATGATTCAAAGTAGACTCCTTAATTTAGGAGTATCGGGCTTGCCATATCTGCGCCCTAAACCCGAAACCCTCAACCGCACGTGCCCTTGCGACATCTTTCTACTCGCCTGCGCGCTTGCTCCGGAAGTCCCTCGGTTTATTTGCTGCAGAACTATTTTTCAGGGTTTAGAGGTGGTTTAGGGTTAGTATCAGTTGAAAGTATACTTAGTAGCATGAACACACCAAGCTCACATGTTGAGCTGTCCAAGGAAACAAACTGACTGAATACTGCATACGTAATGTAATACATCCGCATGCAAACACACTGGCTAGAAGTAATGTAAATGGACTGAATAATTGGAACTGAGCGCATAGCAATACTGACTAAGAAGACAGCCTGTAGTTTAGCTCGCACGATCACATAATGGCTAGAAGCAATGTGAAGGCCTCAACAATCAGAATGGGGTTTGGGGCTCATGAATGTATAGCCACACTAAGTACGACTGCCTAGTTAGTATGTATTTCGCATTATAACATAATGGTTACACTAAAGTAAGGGCCTCAATACAGCATGAAGTCCAAGACCGCTAGTTCGGCCAGGCCAGCATGCGTGACACGGAGGAGGTTTCTTGGACGGGTGCCTACTCGTTTTTAGTCGCGGGTGAGCAGTAATTAGAACGGGGTTTTGGGCTCATGAACGTATAGCAATGCCAAGTAAGCCTATATTATCGTACTTCGCCTATTTCTGACAGTCTCCTGAACCCTACCCTAAGGGTCCAAGTACATAATAATCATATACTCTCTTAAATACTGAGCTACATAACTACTATCCTAAACCCAAGTACCTGATTATTGGGTCCTTTGGACCCTTAGGGCTAATTCATCACTGTCGTGGAAAAAGCGGCATCTCTCAACCTCCAAAACCCCCGATAAACCTGTACCCTGAAGGGTCCATGTGCTCAAAAGTTCGGGTGTTTCCCCCACCCTGTAACAGTCTACACTCTATGGGTCAGATGAAGGGCTGTTTCTCTCTCTCTCTCTCTCTCTCTCTCTCTCTCTCTCTCTCTCTATATATATATGTATTCATATAAGTTTTCGTGTGATTGTTAATCGAATTATCTAACGGTTACAGACTGGGTGCACTACTTGCCCAACATGTAGTGTATGCTTTGGCCTTGCGGTAATCCCTACACAAGTACGTACTTAGCGGCCAAGGTGTCCACTATTTGGGACAGGAGCCCTTAAAGGGAGAGGGTTCGTTTACAAGCTCCTTTTCACCTTATATAGTATGGTCTTTGGGCCCAAAAGCCTTAACATGTAAGTCCTTAGAGCCCTCGGGTAAGGCTTCCTAGACCCGAAGGCTCAAAATCGCGGGAAAGCCTGATACAGTGTGGTCTTTGGACCTAAAGGCCGCCCCTACACCCAAAGCCCTACGTGGAGGTTCATGGGTAGTTAGAAGTGGAGTTATACATCCACTAATATGGGTTATAGTTGCAGTTACCCTACTTATACTTATAACTCCACTTATCTAAAGTCCTAAACCCTAAACACCCAAAGCCCTAATTACACCCCTAAACACGAAACTCTGAAACCGAAAGACCTAAAGTCCTAAAGAGCGCAAAACGACCATGCCTGGAACTCTGCCAAGATCTTGAGAACCGTGTTGGCATTGGCAATCCTTAGCGCTTCACCCTTAGGGTCTAAGGTTTCATAGGGTGTGGGTCTTGTAAAGGCTTACAGTAGAATCAAAGTTGCAAACCCAGTAGCCGCAATCCTTAAAAGTAATGTAAGGAATCCCAGCTCTATTTGGCCTTAATCCGGTTTCCAACTTTATGGAGTTTACTGTAGGGTGAAGTCAGGCTCAGGCGCTAGCAGGGCCAGTTCTCCGGTGAAGGACAGAATGCCCATTGAGGTGGGGGGGGGGCCTCCTGGAAGTGGCGGCCCGCAGCCACCGCCGGGAGGAGGCGGCTTGGACAAGGGGCAGGTGCTTACTACCCTGTGCCAGGACGCTTTGGAGCCGCTTGGGTGGGGTCTGCAGCCTTCGCACGGGTGGACAAAGACCATACCATATAAAGCTTTTGGGCTATTTTGAGCCTTAGGGTAAAGGGATGTAGAGGGTCTGCAAGGGTCTTCCAGCGGTTTCAACGTTACAAATGTTTAGGGCGTAAAGCTTTCGGAAGAGACTTTTCGGGCGAACATAAGATAGGGTTATACTTTAGAAGCCCCCCCCCACCCTGTAATAGTGGTATAATAGGAATGTAATAGGACCCTAATGTAACCCTTATAGTCACTATTACAGGGTGGGGGCGGCCTTCTAAGTTATACTGCTGTCCGGCGGGGTTTCCATCATGCTTACACTCGGAACGTTTGGGGTTTGGAACTACTCAGGCTTCCATATGGGAGTGTCGGGAAGTCAGTGGTACCTTATTTTGGGGGTCATTATAATAAGGATCCTACTATTTGGGGTACTATATTAGGGTCGCCTGTTTTCGGAAGCTTCCATATTGCACCATCCTAAGGTTTGGATTGGAACCTTCGGCAACTGCAAGCAGCTCAATACAATGCTGTGAACATTGAGAAATATAGTATACACCCTCAAAATGCTGTAGTGGGAATTCCGAAAGCCCAGACCAGTTGCGAATGCTATACCTTAAACCCTTGAAGGAACGCCAAAAAGAACCCTCAAAGGAGCCCTTCAAGGACCCTATTTGGGCACATGGACCCGTGGGGTTTGGGCTTGAAAATATACTATCTGGGTACATGGACCCTCCTCAAACCCTCAAATGAACGGCATGAATGCCAAGGAAGCCGCTGCTTCTCGTAGGGCCCGTCGTGCTTGTTGCAGGCCCTGGCGTCGTCAACTCCCCACGGGCCCGTGTGCACTTTTGGTGGGGGGGGGGGGGGGGCTTGCTTTACGGTCTCTATATAAAGTCTGCTTTTTGGATTCTAAAGTTTACCATGCTTCACTATAACCCTTAGGCTCTAAGGACCCCTGTTTTGAGGCTTTTGGGCCCAAAGACCATACCATATAAGGCTTTTGGGGCTATTTTGATCCTTACTTGGAAGGGCAGGGGACTTAGTAAGTCGTGTATGAGCAGGGTTATAATGGGGGTAACTCCATTTGGGGTACTTATAACTCTACCTATAACCTACTTGTTAAGTCGCCTGCCCCAATTATATAACCCTAGTTACTAAGTCCCATGATCCTTTAAGCAAGGACTCGCTAAATCGTAAGACCCAAAGCCCTCCGAACCTTGAAGCCTAAAGACCCTGACGCCCTAAAGCCCCCAAAACTGAACTACATTCCTTGAGATCCCAATTAACTACTCCTTAAAAAAAATTGCCCCTTTAAAAATAAGGAATATACCTCAAATCCTACTATATATTAAGAGCCCCCCCCATAGTTTAGGTGTATTCCATAATTCAAGGGTATTGGGATCTCTAGGTACTCCCCTCTGGTCGCAGCCGCGGCCTCCGGATGGCGAATACGAGGGAGAGTGCTGAGTGGCCAGAAAGATGGATGGCTTCGAGCCTCATGGGCTTACAGTAGGGGCCTTCATAATTAGGGGATTTACTGTTAAGTGGGTTTGGGGTTTTGGGAAAGTAAACCCCATAAAGTTGGAAACGATTAAGGCCAACTAGTGCTGGTATTCCCTATACATTACTCTTATGGATTGAGGCTATTGGGTTTCCAACTTTTGGGCTTCTACTGTAAAGTAGGGGCCTTCATAATTGGAATAAGGTTCCTTGCAGGGGTCCTTTAAAGGGGTCTTTTGGGATTCTATAGTAGAGTGCTATATTGGGGCCCTTAATATTTGGAATACAGTTTTGGGGTATATTATACTATAATTATAACCAAGGAACCACCACAATAGCATCGAGGGTTGCGGGTTTAGGGTTGAGGGTTAAGGTTTAGAAAGGTTCAGGGTTCTACAAGGGCTTCTATCCTAGAGGGTTCACGGCTTAGGGTTTATGGCCTCATCACTTCAGGGTTTGGGCCTTTTATGGCCTTATGGCTTTAGGACTTGTGGGTTAGGGCCTCGTGGGTTAAGGGTGTACAGTGTACACGGCTTTAGGGCTGGGACTTTGCGGCTTGGGGCTTAGGGTTTCGGGCTTAGGCTTATTTAAGGGCTTATTCAAGGGCTTAGGCTCGAGGGCTTTATGGCTGAGGTAAGGCTTTTTTGGAATGGATGGCTGAACTCGTCTGAGTGCACTCACATGCAAATGTCCGACAAAAGAGTCACGGCGGAACACACTCCTGCCAAACCGCAGGGAGCTGCCCGCAAAAAGGAGCCTTGGTCGGCTTTAAGACAGCTTTGTCGGCAGTCCGGGAAACGGCCCAACCGCCAAAGACTGTCCATCCCGCGCTTTGCGCTGGGGAAGTCCTAGCCACGAAAAGACAGCAATCCACTATCCCTCGAAAGCAGGCAGGCGCACTGAGCAGGTGAAGGGGAAGATCTTCGTCGTCAGGGTTGTGAGCAATCCCGATCTCGACAAGGCGCCGAACAAATTCGGGCAAGTCCTTGGAGACAACACCTTTTGCAGTGCTTGGCAAAACTGGCCAGCTGATGCTGGCAGAAGGGCGACAGCTGGGCTTGTCTCCGCATGGAGGGCGGAGTGTTGCCCAGAAAGGCTTGGGCCCTTGTGCGGGTGCTGCAGGTGGCCATGCGAAATGGTATCGCTGCACGACCTCATCAGGAATGACCACGTCAGAAGCATCAAGGACCTGCAAGCATGTGGGCGACTTACGCAGGTGTTCCCTTAACCTACGAGTGCTCCAAAACTCAGTCCCACAAACTTCACACCGACTGCCCCCAGCCAAACGGCGGGCTCTAGCTTGCTCCCCATGGGTCTTGCTTGAGTGGGAAGCGAGTGCCGCAGCCGTACGAAAGGTCTGGCTGCAAAAGTCGCACCGGTGGGCGGCAGTGTGGCGGACCGGGGGGGCGATCTTGCAGAAGATCCACCCATTCTGCCTGGCTGCGGCTAGAGCCTGCCAAAGAGGTATCTTCGCTGCTCCTCTTGTGCGACGCAGGGCTCGCCGGTGCTTGATATATCCACGTATCCATCCCTTGGCTAAGGTAGGCTGGGCAAGCAGGAGATCCCAAGGATCTGTGCAAGAAGGCGAAGTGGGGGCACAAAGCCTGACAGCTTCCTTAGCTTCCTCTAGCCAACCTCCCTCGGAAAACCACAAGGCACGGATAGAGGCAGATTCATCTGCCCAGAGCCAGGCCGCATGTCTGCATATCTCCGCGGTTCGAAGCTCGGAGGGGCTAAGAACCCCAAGCCCATCGCAGACGTCTTCATCCGTAAGCCCTCTGGAAGAACAGCCCACTATGGGCCGGAAGGCCCGCCGCACAAGCTCCATGTAGCCGGCGTGGAACGCCTCGCGCTCACTTTTCTTGCTGAGGCGCCACAAGCCCGCCCCGTGTTTGAACCGAGCAACCGGCATGGCAATGAGGAGCTCGATCTTCTCGGGAGCCTCGAGAAAGGGATTGCAAAGTAGCTTCATGAGCGGCCCCAGGAGCTCTCTCGCGAGGATCCTGCGCCTACGGATATCCTCGATGTCGCCACCTTTCATGTCTGCCAGGGACCCAAGATGGATATAGGCAGGCGTGATGTGGGCGGATGTAGCAGATCCATCCGGAAGCTTGACCGTGAATGTGGCGCCTTCAGTGGTGCACCATTTAGTGCGAACAGCCTTGGCCCCGGGCCCATAAAAGATGGGCAAGAGTTCGGATTTGCCGCGGCCCCAATTGATGGAGATTCCGGCGTCCCGAAGGGCCAAGGCGACCTCTCCGAGAGCGAGCGCGGCTGTTGGGATGACTTCTGCAGCGGATTCCGTCGTGAATGGTATTGCCAGATCATCCATCCACGTGGGAGATGGCACATGGATATCCTGCTGCTTGCCAACCGTGGCAACACATCCGACCTCCGCGAGTCGGGCTTTAAGCCTGTCCAGCACGGTAGAGAAGACATATTGAAATGTCAAATCTGCAAGCGGTGCCCCCGGAGTCGTGCCGGTACGAGTGAGGAAGGCGTCCTCACCGTGGTAGCCCATGCTAAACCACGTAGTGTCTAACGAAGCCGCAATGAGACGACGCACTTCTGGTTGTACATCACAGCGAGCGAGGAGCCCGGGGGCTGTGGCAGTAGCAATGAATCGATCCCGCGAGGGCTCGTCATCGAAAAGCACAGTAGCAAGGTGGTTGAGATAGGACAGGGTGGAATGGGCATCCTGGCCAAGCAGCCCTTGACGGATAGTAGCATAAAAGGCAGTCTGTCCATCAACAAAGATCACCCCTCCCGATCTCTGTCTTGCATGGAGCTCAGTGAGGAAGCCTCTGACCTGAGACATGGCGGTCTGCATAGGTGCTTTGGGGCGACTCCCGCCCTGGCCCTCGACTCGGATGGCTTCGAACCCCTTGAGGAGTTCTTGGCGCAATGCTCCCCCCAAACCTTTAGCTCCCGCCTCCATCAACATAATGGACCTCCACCCGCCCGGCGTAGTCAAGCTCTTGCCCGGCTTTTCTATGGGTGCGGCCCGTCCGCCACGCCAAAGCAGTGGATATTGGCAGCGGAGCAACATTTTGTAGACTAACGGCGCATGTGCCGCTGCAGAAGGCCCTGGAGCGAATCGGAAGACTTCTGCGGGGATCCCGGAGAGTCCAGAGGCTTTCCTGGTGGCCATGGAGCCGAAAGCATGCGCAAGCTGAGGCAAGCAGATCGCATCGACGGCTTCGAGAACCACGTCTTCCGTCCTCGCAGGACGAGTACAGATTGCTGCTGCCCTCTCAGGGATGGCGCGTTCGGCGGCAGCGAAGTGCTGTCCCAGAACAGATTGGGAGTCGGAGGCGGCGGTGCCATCTGCCTGGAGAAGTGCAGGCATGAGATTGGGCCTTTTATAACCACGCCCCGCTTTCATGACCCCTCGGAACAGCCGGAAGAGGCAGTCCGGGCCCTGGTTTCTGGCCTCACTGAAGATGTGTCTTGATGCTTCAGCAGCATCTTCCTTAGCGAGGCGTGTGACCAGGCGATTGGCAGCACCTATTTGAAGGCCTATCAACCCTAGGTGGAGTCCTTGCAGGTGGGCATCCTCGGAGACCTCCCGTCGCCCAGCACGCCAAGAGCAGAAACAGTCCCGCAGCACGGCAAGTTGAGCGAGAAGTCGATGTTTGTGGCAGTCTCTGCGTAGCTCCCGACGATGCTGAATAGCAAGCCACGTGCGGGTTGTGGTAATGGGCCGTCTGGCACCTTGAACAAGCTTGGGGCAGATGTGTGCAAGCCCCTTGCTGATATGCGCATTGAGGACAGCGAGGTGTTCATCAACGCCTGTCTCCCACGGGATGGCCGGCAAGCTGCACAACATGCGCTGGAGCTCTTGTCGCCCCAAAGGCGTACGCAGGTGCTGGTAGTCCAAACGCGGGCCGGCAGCGGTTTGCGAAACACGACGTCGCATGCAGAGCTCCACCACAACCGGCCTGTGATCGTGGTCAAGGAGTCCTTCGAACTCGGCGAGTGGTCCAAGCGACCTGATGCCTTCCCGGAGAGTCTCGGGGAACAGAGCATAGTCGATGCAAGCTCGTTGCCCGCCGGGACCGACCCATGTAACGAGCTCGTTGCCCTCGCTGTCGACACAATCGGAATGTGCCAGCTCACATGCCTGCGGAGGAAGCTGCGCATCATACCAGCATTGTCGGAAGGGGAGCCAACCGGGCAGGCGAGCCGCGCGTTTGCATCAATAAGAACAATCGGAACGCAGTTGCAGGGGATCATGGAAAAGGCTTGATGCAAATCGGCCCACCACATTCTTCGCTCAGCGACTGGGGCCTTGGACGTGGGAGAGTGTGCGGTCATCACGGCAATCCGAAAGCACCCAATCTTCGCGAAGACAAGCAAGATTCGGGGTTTGCGCAGGACTACGCTGAAACCGGCAGGATCCCAAAAGAGTGGCTCCCCTCGCAACTTGCCTATAGGCACCCTTTTGGAGAACCAAATCTGGCATCCAAGTTGGCCCTGGTGGGCGTCACTGCCGAGCACATGAAAGTCCTGTAGATGCTGTCGGGGGTCGCAGTTGCACCTGGTCTCCTGAAGGCCGATGATGCTGAGCTGGAGCTGTAAAAACTGCCTGCTCAAGGACTCTTTTTGTGCTTGAGATGCCAGAGACAAGCAGTTGTAAGTGCACATCTTGAAATGTAAGGAGGCCTCCCCCGGACTGGGTGGGTCCCCAAGCACTTGGGCCAGAGATGGTCCCTCAGAAGGTGTCACTGTGTCGACCAGAGCCCCACCACAGCTTAGGGCAGGTATGGAAGGGCTCGCACCGATAGCAAGCCACAATCGGCTGAGGACCCCGTCACGAGCCGCCTCATCTAGGGAGGGAGAGATCGCACTGGCAATGCGCCGCCGGGCCGCTTCCTTGGCGGCCTGGTCCGCGAGCTCATTGAGCGGGTGCTGCTTATGCGAGTGGATGTGCAAGAAGCGAGGCCGTCGCCCAAGGGCGTCCAGAAGATGGGCCAACGACACTGTTGCATCGGTGAGGGCAGTCTGGGAGTCCGCCGTTGCAAATCCTTGAGCCAGGTCGCCCGCTGACGTGGAATCGTAGCCGATCAGGACCGGTATGGGGAGTGCCACGGCAGTGGTCATCGCATGACAGATGGCCGCGAGCTCAACTTCAAAGCACGAGCGGACCCCCGTGCCTAGTGTGCTAGAGGACCCTTGAATCGGAGCGCATGCCGCGCAGATTCCAACCCAACACCATTGCCCCTCCTGCAGGCCCAGTGCAATGATCGCCCATCCGGCACTGGCCCCTTGTCCAGAGTCCGGAAAGTAGGAACCATCAACGTAGAGTTGAAGGGCATCAATCGGAAAGGCCCGATTGACACGAGGCAAATGCCGGATGAAATCACTTGAACATTGGGGCACGGCGGCAAGGTGATGCAAATCGAGATCGAAGACCCCAAGTCCGAAAGATCCGAAAACAAAATCGAACATGTCAACGGTAACCCCGAACTGGAGGCTCGCACGTCTGCCTTGCGAAGCAACAAGGTCCTCGGCCGCCTGGTCCTGAGCCGGCAGGTGTTTGCAGAGCTCGACCTTGACCTTGTCGGGGCACTTCGAGCTTCCATCGTCGGCAGACTGCGGGGCCAATGTGACCGCAGGTGCTGGCGGAAGAGTGCGCCGCCCAAAAGGAGTGGCAATGGACGTCTTGCTGCGTCGAACCTGTGTTTGAAGTAAGCTAAGGCTCCCCGAAAGCGATGCCGGCCTGGGCCTTGTTCTGGCGGCCTTGTCTGCTGCAGACGCCGTCGGCACGAGCAGCGAATAGGCCACCCCTTGTGCAAATGGAAAGGGAGCAAAAGCGGTGGTATACTGGGATCGTGGCAGCAACCGCAACGGAGGCGGTGCTGAGACAGAGATCGCGGCTGCCTGAAAGAATTCTGGCTGCAGAGGGGCCGGCATCAGGACTGTCACAAAGGGGTCGTCGTCTCTGAACCTGACAAAGGCAGTTCCACTGATGCTGATGGCACGCTCTGCCTCGGTAACTCGATCCTGGGCGGTGAAGATACCGGAAGCTCTGAGCACAGATTGGGCTTCTTCCAGGGTCGGCCGGTAGGGAGACGCAAAGGCAAACTGAAAAGGCGGATGACGCGCGCTCAACACCCAGAGCGAGTTACAGCCACTTTCGAATCTGCCAAAGATATCAAGCCGCCGACTGGCAAGCGTCTGGAAAAAACGCATGAAGGCCCTATTGTTGCGCTCTGCCAGCTGTGTGTTCAAAGGTCCCCTGACATGCGTGAGCGGCGGAAGCGCAACAGGGAGGGACCAAAGCCTTAGGGATTGCAAGCAATGCATCAAGTATGTGGCGGGAGTGACCGAGGGCTGGCCTAACGTGTTAATGTGCACCAGCTGCAGATAATCTCCCATCTCAAGGGGCCGCCGTACCGCATGGAGAGGGAGACCATTGCAGAGGAAGGTCAACTCTTGCTCCCTTTGTGCTTGCGTGAGCAGCTGCTCGGCCCATGTCCCAACCGGTGCTTCAACCGAATACATGCCCCTTCCATTGAGGGTGGTATCGAGAACAACAGCGATGGTGTCCTCGAGTCCCCGCGCAAGGACAAAGGGTACCACAAAAGTCCCCTCCTCCCTGAGGGGAAATGCCTGGAGTAAATGTATGGTGCCCATGTCAGGAAGGCGCGTCTGTCGAGCGTAAGTCCCGACCAACAATGCCAGCGATTGCTCCGGCCTTGAGCCCATGGCCAAGACGGGGGAAGTACGCAGCACTTTAGGCCCATGGACAAGAGTAAAGCTAAGCCTTTCGTCTTCCCTGAGCCTCATGAGTGTGGTAGTACTGGTCGTGCTGCAGCCGTAGGGGCCCAAGAAGGCAGCTCCCCTTGCACGCACAACAAGCCAGTCAAGGTGCCCGAGGTCGGCCGGCAAGCTTGTCAACACAGCGCCGAATTGGTCTTGAAGGAAGGGAGCTGATCCGCCCTGAAGGCGGAGCTGCACTGCCACATCCGTGGTGGTGAAGGGAAGGATGGACTCAAAAATGTCCTGCACATGCATCTCCGGCTCGACAGGTGTTGGAAAGATGCCCCCTCCTAGGGGGCGGAGGTCAACCGGCATAACTCGCCACGGAGCAGTCACATTGGCAGGCGTCAGCACAAGCTGTGGGGCAGCGAGCCCTGGGAGTGAGCTCTGGATGACATGAACAGCCCTGACCGTATCATCCCATGCCGAGGCTTGAGCAACAACTGCCAGCTGCTGCAGAGACCAGCTCATCCCAGCGGTGAGCCTCTTTGGCTCCTGATGCCATCCGAGCACCGTGAAGGGGAAACACGGAGCCCCGTTCCGACCAGTGAGCTGGATGATAGGAAACTGGAGGGTTTCCACTACGCTCTGTTCAACAGCGAACAGCTCCTCCGGTAGGCACTCACAAGTAGGCCTGGCTGTCGGGTTGGCCATTCGTCTGGTGTGCGCAGTGGGCGGGGGGTCCCCCGGAAGAACAGCCTCACGCCTAAGCTCTTGAACCTGGGAGGTATCGGACTGTCGTGAGGTCCAACTCGGGTCTCGCAACCTATCAGCCTCAGAGCCCTCAGTCTCAGCCGTAACTGGAAGGTCTGGATCCTGAGGCCCGAATTGTGGAACAACCCATTCGTACTTAGCTAGTGGTGGCGTGATTGCTGCATGTCTCCGTCCGGCAGAGTCCAGAAGCGCCTGAGGGGTGCCTTGCCTGAACCTCAGCATAGCAGGTATGGGTGCACCTGCTGCAACGAATGGCTCGAGCGCATCCAGCTGAAGCACCGGTGGAATGCACGCAGTAATGACATCGGTGCCCTGGTGACGGAGGTCGAACACGACCGCGTAGTGCAGCGCAGGCGCTGTCGTAGGGGAAAGGACCAATTGCGGTATTGGGAATCCGTGGAGCGGCCTCGTGAGGAATTGGATCGCGCGCACTGGGAAAAGCGCTGATCCTGCTGCGTCTGCTGCGAAATCGCCCAGGACCCAGTCTGCTCCACAGCTCCGTACTCGCGGTCGCGCCCCAGGCTCAAACACAGTGTATCTGCCTCGTCCCTGCGGATCGATCTGTGGCCGCAGCTCGAGAATGATCCGCTCCAGAGGGAAGTATAGCGCTGACCCATCAAGGTCAGGCGGGAAGACAGTAGCCCTTGCGGCCCGCATGAAGGCTATCTCAGTTGGGCGGAGTGGCATCTGTGGCGGCCTTGCAGCAGAAGAACCTGGCGGAGCAAGTATGGGCAGATGCGAGGGGGTGACCTTGCTGTGCAGGCGCTCTCGCGGCACCCCGAGGCGCTGCCTTGCGCCACAAAGGCTTGTGTGCCGCTGGTGACCTTCGGTCTGTCGACCGGCCTGCTGGGTGACTGTACAAGTGGTCACGATGGCCGCGAACTCGTCGTCCTCCTCGATCTCTGGCCCCGCTGTGAGAAAATCCAGAGATTCAGCTCTGTGCATCGTCTGTCCGTCGGGTAGACGAAGGCTGAAGTGCCCGCGAGGCAGGCGGTCTTTGGGGCATTGTGCAATACACTGATCGCAGGCATGTCTATGCCCCTCATTCGAACGGAAATCCACAGTGCACACCCTGCCTTGGAGGGGCCTGAAGTCAACTGGAGCAAGCCGGGCATCCAGAGGATCCGTTCGGAGTGCAACAACAAACTGTGCTGCCGGAAAGCCGCTGAGCCTTGGCTGCAGGAGCCTGATGGAACGGAGGCCCGGATACTCCGCAATCAGATCGAAGATTACCTCGTCAAGTGAACCTGTTCCGGGGAGAGGTCGAACTTGCACGTGGGCAACAGTGCTGAAGACAGCGTAACGATTGTACTGTGACCCGGCACTATCAGCCCCGGTCGCTCGGAATCCTTGATGCCACCGGAAGGTGGCCAAGGGCTGGCACCTGACTTCTGGTATGTCAAGGTGTGATGGTAGCACCTTGACTTGCGTCACCATCAACTCACGGAGATTGTCATCTTCAACAGCCGACGGCATGTCGAGGGGGCATCGAAGGCTGTCTGGAAGAGAAGTGCCAAGGCTCGACAGGGAACCGACCTTGAAGCACTGAATGGAGTCTGCTGCGGACTGATGGATGGTGCCAAGGCTCGACAGGGAACCGCCCTTGCAGCACCACTCGTGAACCTCCTGAGGAGTCGGAGGACGGGAAGCAGATTGTCCCTTGGTAGGGGACATGCACTGTAAGGTGTCGCCAACAGAGCGCACCCGTTGCGACGATGGACACAGGCCGGACAGGGCCTCTGTAGACAGTGCGAAGGTCCTCTTGAGCTGGTTGCAGTGGCGCACCGAACTCAAGGCCTCGAATGTGACCTGGAGTGGCAGGGCATGTTTGCGCAAATGGAGGCAGTGCAGGCGCGGTGGCGGCCTACTTCCTAAGAGCCCTAAAGCCACTACCGAGGATGGCAAACTGGGCAGTGACATCACATCCTGCTCCTGGAGACGAGCCACATCTGGCTCAACTGCCGGACAACACATGCTCACGGTAGGATCCTGGAAGGTTCGTCTCTCAGGGCTAGGGCAAAATCCACCTACCCCTCTCCATCCAAGGTCAGTGACAGGGCCTACACCAGACTGTACAGGGGCAGGCTCAGCCTCGTATCCCTCAGCAGTGAGAACACGAGGATCCTCAGCCCAGCTAAAGAAAACCCCAATCTCATCAAAGATAAGCTCATACTGTAGCGAGAGGCCCAAGAAAGGAGCCATCCACTCGTTGACGTAGTCATCCTCAAAACTGACAGAGTGTGTCCATTGCACACCCCCTTCGGAGAAAATCTCCGGCATAATAAGCCCACACGGTCCCCGTAGGCTCACGTGTGAGCTGAGCCAGGGTGCGCACCTTGGCCGCTTGTCATGTCCGCCTCCTTGGGCTTGTCCTCGCGCTCTTTCGAGGCGCCTCTCCTGGGAGTCCGCGACCCTTGTCGCGGTAGCGAGCCGGCACCCTCCTCCTTGAACGTGTTGAGCGTTGATAAGAGCTTCTGCGCATGTGCGTCTGCCTGCTCTCTCACCTGCTGTCTCCTGGCTTGGCTCCGGACTTCCTCCTCGGCAGCCTCGGCTACCATGGCCTCCTGACGTTCCATCTCGGCATCCTCGTCGGCGTCCAGTTCGATGCACTCCTGGAGGTCCTTGACATCCTTGGTAGACTGTCTGCCTAACTCTGCTGTCGCCTCCTCCAGCTGAGTCCTCCACGCATCTTCGGCAGCATCGTACTTGTCCAGAGCTTGCGCACGCTCCGTCACCTGCTTCTCCAGAAGCTGGGAGACCTGCTGTAGGTACTGGTTCCAGGCTCCTTCGAACGCAGTCCGCTCCTGGCGCACCTTGGCCAGAGACCGCCGTGCCTCCTGCTGTTTCGTCACCAGCTTGTGTAGCGTCTTGCTTGTCGCACGAAAGGAGTCGTCCTGATACTGCCCCAATAAGCTGGAAATCTCCGGCGGAGTGTTCTCCTGGGCCGCGAGGTGTGCGACCAAGACCTTCAGGAGCTGTGCCTCGGGTCCAGTCGAAGAACTGGATGTGGCTGTCGACGGCGTCCCCGTCGGCAGGGAAGGCACCATGGGCGCTGGGAGCTCCGGCAAGGAGGCCAGCAAGGGCGCCGAGGGCCCCTCTGGCTGGACCGCATCGTCGCCTTTGCGCGGTCGCGTTCCCCTGCCCTTGGGTCCTTTGTCTTGACCCTTTCCTTTCCCTTTCTGTCGGGTCCGCGGTGAAGAAGGCCTGGTACGCGGAGAAGGCGGCTGCCAGTCGCCCTTGTACCATCCTTGATCTCCCTGTCCCTGGCTCTTCCATGGTGTTCCGTAGGGCTTCTGCACATAGTAGCCCTTGCCCGTCCCGCATTGCGGGCAGAACTGGGCGCTCGCTTTGGCCCATTGCTTGCACTGGCCACATTGCCAGCTCATCGCTTCGCCTTGGCTTGTAAGGGCCGGCAAGGTTGATCGCGAGTGATGCCGGGCAAGCAGCTTGCGTGCCCGAAACAGGCTCTTCTGGTCTGGCCTGACGAGCCCCGAAGCCACGTTCCGCAGCAATGTGCGAGCCCGGGTTCGGGCTTTCCTTTGCCTCCTGTGGAAGGCCGGCTCCTTGCCAGTAGTCGTCCTGGAAGAGCCTCCTGCCAAAAGAATGGAAAAGGATCAAAAGGCACAACCAGGCCTTCATAAAAGATGCCCAGTGTACAAAGTTCCAGCCACACCACGTGTGGGGAAGTAGCCCCTAAGATCCTCGCCTCGCGTACAGATCCCGGGGAAAAGATTGGTCCAGCCACGCACCGGTGGGGACAAAGTTGCGGGTCGTCTCAATTCGACCGCGCGTAGGGTCGGAGGCCGGGTGGTGGATCTACGAGAGAAAACTACACCACTCGGGCCACAACGCCTGAGGTAAGGCTTAGGGCTTAGGGTCTGGGGTTTCAGGGCTTTATTCCTGGCCTCATTCGGGATTTATAATATAGTGTGGCTTATATAAGGGCCTTATTCAACAGGCGGTGGGGTGCAGTAGTAGCATGACAACGGGAGCATCAGGGGATATTTTCACCAACCATTCCGACCTCCAATTCATCTGTGCTCGGGATCTTTGTGACAAGCACCATTGGAATAATGTACCAATAAAACCGGTAGTTGGGTTTCCTTCCTTGTGAAACCATACATGCACTACAACCTCATTCTCATAAGGCCCCTGTAGGGTTGGGATTCTGAAACTCATGTCTAGGTGGTTCTTGACTTAAATAGGGTTTTTCTTCTTGCATGGTGATCTCAGCACTTGAACATCTGGAACATACCAGACGCCGCAGAAATCACCGTCACGGAAGCTCCATTGCCTAAACTCGAATTTCGTCTTGAGAGTGGCCAGTGCTTTGCTGCATTTAGCGCCTTGGCTTCCAGTGACCGAGTCATCAACATGGGAGTTTCCGACAATCGGGGGTATTTTATCTTGAGGTCCGTAGAACAAGGATCCTACTATTTTGGGTACCATGTTAGGGTCCGCTACGGTCAGAAACTCCCACTTGGATTCCGAACACACCCGTCAGCTGTGAGCCTTCTCTCATGAAGCCCTAAGGCTCCAAGTAGTTCCTATTTATGGGTTTTGGTACCTAAACAGGCCCTAAAGTCCTATAATAGGGAGTACTTGGACCCTCTGGGAAGTAAAGGCAACGGTCCAATCTGGAACCTCGGAAGCCGTCATCTCCAAGAGCCTGATCTAGGAGGTTTAGGGTGCAGGGGTTTAGGGGGTCTAGGGCTTAGTTGCTGAGTCCATAAGCCCCCAACTTGTGGCTTTATTATAGCATTTATAGCGGGTAATATTATCCCAAAAAGTGTAAAGTGTATCCACTCAGCTGCTAAGGGTTTAGGCTTGTACCACTCGGAAGGAGCATCGTTGAGACGGTGCAGCTGACCAACGACTTCAATCCAAGTGTCGTTGCGGATGCCTCCCATCCCTCCGGGCTAGGAAGGCTCCTTTAATGTCGCCAAGCATCAGCTTCCAGCCGAACGAAGCGATCACCAGAAAATCTAAAGTGCCAAGCTGGGACAGCGTCGAGCTTTGCGAATTTCCAGCAAGAGCTTTGTCTCCGAGGTCGGGACCTAAGAGCACCACCTACTTAAAGGATCATGGGACTTAGTAAGTAGGGTTATAAATAAGGTAACTATACTTATAGATACTTATAACCCCAATTAGGGGACTTATAACCTTACTTACTAAGTCCCCTGATCCTCTAAGTAGCTTTGACTCCCCGAGGCCATACCTCCTCTTGCTTCCTCATGCACACACGGCGATGCGAACATCTCTGGCCTCATCTCCTATAACTTCTGTGGATGGACAATATCCTGCATGACCCAATATAGGGAATATACCATAACTCCCATAGTTTAGGGTCCTTAAGGTCATGCAGGATTTTGTCCATCAGCAGCTGCACAGCCGCCTGTCTACTAGAAACCGTCTTCCACTCGATAAGTTTCGCTTCGTCAACCTGTGATTATTCTCTGCTGCGAAGCGTTCCTCTAATTATTAAATGTTTCCGCTAACAGCTTAAAACTCTGGGCCCTAAACCCTAAGCCCAAACTAAACAATCCAAACCGCAAACACTAAACCCTCAACACCAAGCCCAAAATCCTAAACCCCCAAACCCTGAACCCATCCGCTTTTTTCATAAAAAACCGAGCTGGGAGTCCGGCTTCGGGAAAGCGTCGCTTCCACCCCAGGGGCCCACTTTGCCGGGGATGTTCCTGCCGGCTTAGGCTGTAGTGATAGTGTCCTGCTATAATTAGTCGGTAGTCGTTTTGTTGTTGTTACTTTTCCACTTTTCTTAATTCCAAGCTACGCAGAACTAGCCCCTAAACGTTGGCCAAGGCGGGGTTTGGGGAATCGCACACCGAAAGAGCCCAAAATCCCACAAAACGCGCCTGACCGCAATTCGCGGATCTGCACCCTGCGCGAGGCCTCAGTTTCAGAATCGTTGCACGAAAGGTTTCTTGGATGAAGGGCTGGACCACAAAAGTCCGAGATGCCTTAATTCAGGGTTTTCCCGGTTGTTTCAGGAGTCCCAAAAGACCGTCCCTGATCTGGTTTTGGTGACCTAATTCCATAATAGTAGTATGTATGCACACTCTGGCTCATCGGCTTTCTTAGTGCTTTGTTGAGGAATAAACTTGCGGCATTCCTGCAAGCTCTAGTGTGGCCTGGCTCACTAATAAGACTGTCACTAGAAGAGAACCGGTGCGTCGGGACGGAACAACAGGGCAGATGCCCTGCTTGAGCTGTCCCCCATTGCAGCGCAGCAAACAACCCAAACTTCACGCCCCAAACTACTTCAAACTTGACCCTACCGTAAAGGTTGAGCTCTAAACAATAATAGGGTTTAACTCCAGAGCTCATGTGAGACTTTTGTGGGCTGTTCCTGCCGGGGCTGCGGTGTTTCGGGTTTAGGGTCTGGGGTTGAGGGCTGTTCTTTACATATGGGTGGTTGTCAAAATGGTGGTCCCGTTTTGGGTCCCTAATATAGTACGGCACCTAATAATCAGGGTACCCAAAAAGGAACCATAATTTTGACAACCACCCATGCGTTAGACCCAACCTCCCAGGGGTTGGGGGCTGATGTTTTAAGGGTTCTTTCGTTTTAAAGTGGAATGGGCCTTTTTCGGGTTTAAGGTTCAGGGTTTCCGACATGGGGAAGCTGAATATCCCTGCAGCCAGGGAACAGTAACGTATCAGCCTCCAATGTGATTCCTGCGAGGATCATGGCGTGTTTCGGGCTTATGAGTTTTTCTTGCCGTTGGTTAGTAGGGAATGGAGGAATGGTAGTAATAGTAGTTATAACTGTACCCCATTCCTCCATTCCCTACTAACCAAAGTTAAGATTTCGGACCGGCGTCTACATCTATACCCGTACAATGCGAGTGCAAAGAACCCTTGGGATGAGGCCTTCAAAATCATTCCAGAGAAATACACAGACATAGTGAGAGCCCTCCCCATCACACCCATGAGCATCACGAATAAAGCCTCCACAATCGTCACACGGATGTGTACCTGCATTCGCATCTATTCTGATCTAAGGCCATGGCAACTTGAACACATGGGCCAACCACTTGAGGTCACCCTTCATGCCAAAGAAGCGGACTGGTCGCTGTTTCATCAATGTTGACTGTCCTCTAGCAGTCGAACTGGTTCCCAAGCTGGTGTCTGCAGCTCAACATCAAAGCCGAGGAACAGCCCCTGCAAATCTTCACTGATGATTTCCATAAGTTTGTCCACTGTCGTCATGGTCCGTAGCTTCCTCTGCATCGGCAAAGACACCAGAACATGGCCAG